AGAGGGTATAAATGGTATAAAATTTAATTACAAGATAAAAAATACTAAAAAATAATAAAAAATTAGATTCTGGCCGGCCAGAATCTGGCCATTTAGCATTGTCCTTAGTAATTAATTAACTTGTACTTCCTCATTCCCATGTTAATTGTCGTTTTAAGCTAATTCACACATATTAAGAAAGCTAATAAATATGTATGAATTCTAGAAAAATCATAATAAAATTACGAAAAAACCACTTTGATAAATGTTTTACCATTAATTCTCTTAAGAGTAGTAAGAGGATAATTGAGAACACAATAAATACTTTATTAGAATCCTAAAGTGACAATTAATTTGAAAAAAAATATATCTCTTGAAAGACAAATAGAATGGGAAGGATGGGATAAAAATTATCGCAATTAATAATGAATGCTGACTAGTTATGCTGAAAATTCTAGTATAATACTTAAACCTCCTATATGAAAGAAGAAAAGAATTGTCACTTTTTTTATACTCAAATGATAAATGCATGAGGAATTTTTATACTCAAATGATAATTACATATCATTTTTTTAATTTTAATTTTAAATCCCATTTCACTCATTTATCATCTTTTTAATTTTATTGTTCTAAATAAAATTCCTATATTGTACTCTTATTATATTTAAATTCAATTATATTTAGTGTTGTTGAATTTCTAAATATAAATTTCGGTTTCGAATTTCTCGAATTAAATTTGGAAAATTATCTAAATTTAAAATTTGTCCGTTGATTTGGTTGAAAGTGAAAAATTACAGGTTCCTACTTCGATTGAAGAGTTTTTGAGTGATTTTTTAAAAAACCCAAACGATTGTGGAAAGTTTTGACTTAAGAAGATTCACAAATCTATAAAAAGAAAACGGACGTATGCAATGGATACTCGTCTCATTTTTTTTGAAAACCTTTTTTTTTCTCAAATTTTATCTTTCAGCCGGTTAACTGCCGTTGATTTTTTTATTTTTATTTTTTTTAAAATTCCTCTCTTAATTATTATGTTAACAACAAAATTATTTTCTGAGATAGTAATATTATTAATATTATTGTCCCAAATAGTATATTATCGTCCCAAATAGTAATATTACTGTCTCAAACAGTAATATTATGAATATTATTTTCTCGAACAGCAACCTTACTAATATTAATTACTGTCTCAAACAATAATATTATTGCCAAGACAGTAATATTAATTAAAATATTTTTTTTCATGAAAAAACAAGTTAACAAAAAAGAAAAAAAAAAGTCAACCCAAAGACCGGCGGTTGACCTGCCGGAAAAATCTTTCAAAAAACAAAAGTTTCCCAAAAAAAAAGTCAACGCCAGAGACCGGCGGTTGACCTGTCGGAAAATAAATTTCAGAAAAAAAAAAAAGTTTTCAAAAATAAAAGTCAACGCAGGAGACCGCCGGTCAACGACGGGTGACCGGTGGTCTCCAGCGGTGGCGGTCAAAATTGGGTTCAAAATTGAAATAAAGGTCAGAATTGGTTAATTGGTGAAATTCAACTAAATTGGACTGTAATTCATGAAATTTGAGTTGAATTAGGATTTCAAGTAATTTGGGGTAATTTTAATATATATAAAATGATTTTTCTTATTTGTAAATAAATTTGAATCATCTAAATTTATTTGGAAGACAAAAAAATTGACTGTCCACTTTTTAATTAAGTGTATTTGAGTTGAATTAGGATTTCAAGTAAATTGGACTGTAATTCATGAAATTCATGAAATTTGATCAACTAAATTGGAGTGTAATTCATGAAATTTGAGTTGAATTAGGATTTCAAGTAATTTGGGGTAATTTTAATATATATAAAATGATTTTTCTTATTTGTAAATAAATTTGAATCATCTAAATTTATTTGAAAGACAAAAAAGTTGACTGTCCACTTTTTAATTAAGTGTATTTGTCATGAGCCTATTTATCATTTGCCCATCTATAAAATGTAACAATCATATTTTTAGTTTATTCACAGGAATATGTGTAGGTGTACCATTACATTATATATTCGGGAACTGTGAGCAAAGGAAGATTATAGATATTGGAGAAGTGGTCCCAAAATATTTGTGGAAACCATAGATTATAGATTTCAGGCTTTTAAAAGTACGTACCCTAACCTTGACGCAAATATTCTAGGTCTCTATAATTTTCTTTTATTATTATATTGGTTTACAATTGATGTGTAAACTGCATAAAACCCACTGTGTTATGAAAAACATGCACCAAACTTTCGTGTGTTAATTTTATTGCATAGAATCCCATTGTGTTTTCTTTTATCTTGCATGAAATCTCACATTCCGTTAATAATTAACACCGTTAACTATTTAGGGGATTCCATGCAAAATTTTCATAACACAACACGGGGTTTGGTGCATGTTATTTACAATACAAGTATTATAATTTATGTAAAATTTAATTATTTATTTAAATGTTGAATTATTTTTTTGAAATTAAGTCAAATACATTTATTCAATTTTTGAAAGTCGAATTTTCAAAATTATTAATATAATTATTTATATCAGAACTAATACAATAAAATTAACACAGGGGTGTTTGGTGCATATTTTCCATAACACAGGGGGTTAAAAAAAAACAGTTTACCCTCTAATTGAGATTGTAAAATATTAAGGTCAGGTATGACTGTCATGCTAAAATTAGTCAAGATGCGATTAAATAAGTTAATGAAAACCCAATTGTCTTATCGGATTCGGGGATATCCAACAAAAAAACTTCTCAAAAGTCATGATAATCCATGGTAACATAATATTTGCGGGTTGATCGGTCAATTTATCGGGATATCAAACATCAAACAAAGTCAAATCATTAATCATGCTAATCTCCCCAACCAAACGAGGTGTACCTAATCTAATCATGTCTCTAAACTTTGGTTGGGGAGATTTAACCATTATAAGCTAAATAATTGAAGGTTGTTTGATGTTTGGTATTCCAATAACTTGTCTGGTGGACCCGGAAATATTTTGTTATCATGGTTATCTTAACCATGTCTCATCTTTAACTTATAAGTTTTTTAGTTGAATGTCCCAGGGTCCGATAAAATACTTGGATTTTCATTAAATGGTTTAACCGTATCTTGACTATTCTTATCATGGCAGACAACCAAATGAGATCTTAATATAATAATATAATATAAGGAAAAAAAAAAAACAGAATTTAGTGTACTAATAAGACCTAGTGGTCTCTTTGAAAAATAGACAGGCATATCATGGGACACATGCATATTAAGGTTCTTTAAGAGTGTACTCTTAATTTGTGTGTTAGTGTGTGTTTGTCTGTGTTGGTGTGTGGAGAGAGTTCACTTTTTTAGTTAAAGGGTTGGTTCATATACTCGTGCATCTAATTTATTACAAGTTGTGGTAGTAATTTTGAACTTTGAAAATTATTTCAATTCATGGCTAAATAAAGAATGAAAAGTGAACACGATATTAATGGAAATTAGATGCTAGACCTAGTTACACTGGGTGAGATTGAACCGTAGATTTAATTAAGGGTAAATTACACCCACACCCCTGAGGTATGCTTAAATAACTTTAAGGTCCCTGTGGTATCGATAATTACACTCACCCCCTGAAATGTAGTTAGAAACTCTAATGGGATAATGCATTGAATATATTATTCCAATATAGTCACTGCTTATTTTTCATGGGCTGCATACAATAATGAATGCTGACAACGGTTTAAACTAGTGAAGAACTTGTTGATGCGGTAGAGCAAAAGCTAATTTTCGTACTTAATTTAACTACTAAACTTGCTTAATGGCAAAATTAAATTAATTTAATTAGAAAGATTATTGCTTCGTGATCTTCCCTTCTCAAAATGCTTTACACAGCTAAAATGAAACTAGAGACACACACACACACACACACACACACACATATATATATATATATATATATATATATATATATATATATAAATAAA